GCACTGGCTCCCGCTACCTTCTACAGCAACCCCAAGCACAAAGGGCATCCAGGGCATGGTGCAGGCAGACCTGATCCCTACAAAGCCCCCTAACGCAGGGGGACACTGACCCCGGCAGCCCTAGATTGTCCACGCAGAATAGTTTGATGTGCAACCTGCGGTGTGTAGTAGCAGGATGCACGCTCTGGGATGCCGCAATCTTTACCCAATGGAGAGCCGAGGCTCGATGGTTGAAGGGTGCTGCATCTGCCCTGCAGTGCCTGCTAACTTGGCCATGTGGCACCTGCCATTGTGCAAGGAGGGTCCTCCGCCAGGCACCTGGGGCTCGATGGCCGTTGATCCATATTAGCACTCTTCCACCCATTTGAGCCCTAAGCATTGGCCCTGCTGCCGACGAAAGGTGTACACCTAGATTCACAAGTCCCAGATCCAGATTCTAGACATTTAGCCCAGATGAGAACCTATAGCAAAGGTGGGGGTGGCCTCGGGGTGAGGGTCGAGGTGGGGGATTTTCCCTTTTCCCTATGCAGCCTCCCCTCTATCTCCATGCTGGTGCCACCACAGGGACAATCTGTCCTAAAATGGACAGGAAGGAAAAGATCTATTTTGTCTGGATAAGTACACAGACACTGTCCCCTAGAACCCAAATCCTTCCGAGCACTTCAGCTCCAGCACTGGTTAAGGTAACACTAACCACGTAATAGTGTATAACAATAATCCAGTGCTGCATAAAGATAGTCCTTATTCATTAATAATGCATTCAGGAGGAGTGATTTTCACTTCCAATAACAAGGCTGATATGTTGGAAACTAGCAGGTAATGAAGAACATTTATAATGATGTTAGTCTAATAATGAGTATAATGCTGATATAAGTAACACTGTAAGCTGGACACGTCCAAAGATAAATTATTTCAAGCAGGCATTAACTAATGCCTAATTAATGCCCAATTAGAACGATGCTACATGGGAAATAATTCGGCCAGCCCAGTGAATTCACTCCAGTCAGTAAGAACACAGTGAAAACCAAGTGAGTGCAGAATGGCCCCATGAAGGGAGGGTGAGGAGGAAACAATGCCTTACCCATGTGTAATAACAGGAGTGTGAAGCGCTAACAGGATCCTTGGCATCTTTACCAATGTCAACAGTGCTGTATCTTCTTAAAGCAATTAATTAAAAGGCTCCCACCAGCATTTTTCTGTTCAGCTTTTGAAACTCTCCCTCCCTGGTCAGTTCTGACACGTACCAATGACACTCCAACTGCCTCCAGCCTTGGCTGGATGAAACTAAAAGCTTTGTGCTGGAGATAATAGAAGATTTTTCAGCACATTAATCAATTTCTGGCTCTTTAATGAGGACAGCAGGCTGGGCCCACAGTTCCCCAGCAAGGACCCCTGGTTTCCAAACAGAAGCTCTTGGAAGGCTGGGGGGCTCAGTTTTGGTGAGCTATGCCCCTTCAAACTCAAGGAAGACTAAAACGCTCAGGATTACATGATACAAACAGATTCATACTGCAGGTCACCCCAGTCTGGCAATATTGATAAGACTAAGGGCCTAACAGTGGCTTCTGTTCTAAATTTCAGCTCCAGTGGTATTGAGCCATCCACACCTCTGGATTTGTATATGAGAGAGAACCCCCAAACTGACCAAAACTGAGACTATCACTCAACATGATATTCAAAGTGGTAGATAATCAGCAAATGTTATGGGCAAAAGTTACTCACATCCTTGGCTAGAGTATTGTGTGGTGTCACTAGAGAGTTGCCTAGTTTCTTCTGCTTTACCAGTCCCCTCACCCAAAATATCCATTTATGTTGGCATTTATTCTGTGTCCATTGCTAACCTCACACAATTCCCTTCGCACCTGGATATCAGAACAAACTCCTCGCTGTGGCAATTTCACCATTGTATTCCTGGGAAGCTGAACTGGAAACACATCAACAATAATCTGTATCATAACCACCTTCCATTTTATCCCGAGATACAAATTTCGCCTTCAGATAGTAATGTCAGACAACATGAACTCACGTGTTTGTTAATTACAAGGAGGGGCCTGATTCTCCCATGCCCTGCAGCTTGTGCAGTCATTCACCCTGTGCAGAGTGAGTGTGAAACTGCCATTTGGCATTAGTGGTGTTTCACACCCGCTCTGTGCAGAGCGGGGAAGAAGCAGGCCCAATGTGTCCTGCTGTGTTGATAACAGTGGCCTGTGTCATTAGCACCATGTACATGTAAATCACCCAAATCATAAGACTTCTACCAGCCGACACATTCTCATCAGCTATCCTGTTATCATGGTGACGAATGTGTCACGGAACAGTATGTTAAACTGTTTGTAGTGGGCATTGCGCACACTTCTATGCTGCTCAGAAGTGGGAGATGGTTTAGTGATTCAGACCCTTCTGTTTAGGCATTTGTGATAACAGGCTTCATCCCTGTGAACATCCCAGTGATCAGTGCCTGGGGAGATTTTGCTAACAAGTATCAATCTCTGTACTTTAGCTTCCCTATCTGTAAAATGGGATTAATGATACTGACACACCCATGTAAAGTGCTTTTTGATCCATGGATGAAAAGTGCTCGACCCTATTTTTATAACCACATGCAAAGGATTGTTTTTCTTACATGTTCACAGTTGGGAATGGGAAGGACTTGGTGACTGGCACTTTTGGGTATCAGTGTTTTTGAGGCCACAGCTGCCACTGCTGATTGTGGAGATGGTTCCTTGATGGGCAAGGACCACTAAGAGGTCACGGTCAGTGTGAGGAGACTTACAATGATTAGGTCTAAAGGGGCCAGAATCCTCTCCCTCTTGAAATCAAACCCACAGGACAGCAAAGCCAGATGTCATGTTAGTGACTCCAAAAATGCTTCTAATAACAAACATCAATAATCATAACATTTTTATGTATTAGGTATTCCTGACACAAGGCCCTTCTCTGGCACTGGTGCAAAAATGGGAAACCACCCACATCTGCAAATGCAAACCTGTAACTTTTGAAGGGCATGACTTGACAGAAGTTCTGCTACCCTCGTTATACAGGAATCTGACTGTTTGGCCAAACTACTTTAAGTCACACTCATTTTTTATTAACAGCACTTTCAGATATAAGTGCCCTTTGCTGGTGATTTATTGACAGTCTTTGTGGTGCAATCATTCTAAAAATATGACAACTTTGCATTCAAAGAATGGAACCAGATGGACAGGTCACTCACGATTAGCTATGTAGTAATATCTCACACTACACTACACGAGAAGCCAACTGCAGAATTACACTTTTAAAGGAACAGAATCAAAAACAGGGAAGTTTCTACTCTCTTCCCGACATGTGGTCTAAATACTGAACCCTAGATTCATCTTGGAGTCCTGGAACAGGGGCTCATAAAAGCCCAGATGGCCCAGAATGACCCAGGATGTCTTGTGATAGCCTGGCACCAATACTGGTGAACTTCTCCTTCGTCTTTTTAGGAATATTATAATCCATCTGATATGCCAGGGTTTAATTGACAGGTGGCACTTGCAGATGTATGTTACTCTAATCTGATGCCCGTTTCCTGTTATGTCCAGTGCAGAATGCATCAGACCTGGGTGAGCGTTTGTGGATGTAACAGAAGAAGTGGAATTTGAATGAGAAATGAGAGCCTGGTGCAATGAGTTTGAGGGAGTGGCCTGGCAGAGAGCAGGAAGATAGGAGTGTGAGAAGGAAATGCACAGGATGGTGAAGCTGGCAATACAATGGCTGACCACAGGGAATGATAGTTACAGCTCCTCTTTTTTTTTTTGTCCTTTATTCTCTGCTGTAATAAAGCCCTGATCAGAAGTACGTTGTGTGGTAGCAGAAGCTGTAATATGTTACACCACAGGAGATCTATTGAAATATGTTTGAGCACCCACTTCCAAATATAGTTTTCAGCTCAGCACCTTCTCCACTGATTGCTGATAAAATCATATTTCCTGGGAGTCTCTTGTTCTTTAAATCTGTATGTTGCTGTTTAAAAGACCCTGAGTGTTACAACTCAGTAAAAAAAGGACCATTCTAATTAGAGTGTCCTTTCCTTTCAAGAGATTTAGGGCTTGGTTCCAAAGGTGCTGAGCACCCAAATTCCAGCTGAATCAGTGGGAGTTGCACTCAGTGGTTCTGTAAATCAGATGCCTCGTGTGTGCAAAGCAGCCAGAGTTGGGGAAATCCCTCATTCCCCTTGGTGTAACTGACGGGGGCTCAAACACTGTCTCTCATTAGGACTAGAAGAGCTGGATGAAGTGTGAACAGTTATTCGTGAGCACTTTTGTCACATATGCTACCCTTTCTGTTTGCTTTGCCACAAACTTACACGAGGGCTTTAAGCATGTGAACATTTTGAATGATTGCTCTTCAGGTGAACACGGTGTTTTGACCAGGGCCGGCTCCAGGCACCAGCGAAGGAAGCAGGTGCCCGGGGCGGCCAATAGAAAGGGGCAGCACGTCCGTCCAGTATTGGAGCGGCACGTCCAGGTCTTCTGCGGCAATTCGGCGGCGGGTCCTTCACTCCCTCTCCTCCTCTTCGGCAGCAGCTCAATCGGGTTTTTCTTTTTTTCTTCGCCGCTTGGGGTGGCAAAAAAGCGGAGCCAGCCCTGGTTTTGACACAAAGCAAGGAACTCGCTCTTTGCACTGCAAGTGTTTACCCTATTTATACAGTTTCAGTTGACCAATCAGAGGGCAGTCACAACACCATGTGATTAAGGTGGCCATTCATACACCACAAACAACAACCAGGGAATAATCAAAGCAAACAGTTGGCAAACACCCCATAGGCTGAAATAAATTTGGACAACTACAAGTAACTAACCTACTCATCACAATCTGTTTGTGGATAATTTATGGACAGAAAAAGTGGTTGAGTTAATTGGATACATTTTTCACTAGGAATAATCCTCACAGCTATAATTACTAGGCAGGTGGTTTTGAATGATTTACAAGACATCGTAATTCAACTGACCTTGTTCTCTCCCTTTTTTGAACAGGGGGTTCTGTGGAGCTGCTCCTGATGCTGTTGGGACTTGAGATTCACTTCACTGCATGCTGCCCCATTGACTGTGTATGTTACCCATCACCTATGACTGTCAGCTGCCAAGCCCACAACTTTGCATCAATTCCAGAGGGGATACCAGAAAACAGCGAGAGGATTTTCCTCCAGAACAACCAGATCACATTGCTTCTGCGAGGTCACTTTAGTCCATCCATGGTCACCTTGTGGATCTATTCCAACAACATCACCTTCATAGACCCAGACACCTTTGATGGGTTTGTTAATCTAGAAGAGCTGGATTTGGGGGATAATCGCTATTTAAGGGCTTTAGCAGCTGAGACCTTCCAAGGGCTGGTGAAGCTCCATGCCTTGTACCTGTACAAATGTGGGTTGAGCTCTTTACCCAGTGGGATATTTGGTGGCCTCCACAATCTACAATATCTTTATCTTCAAGATAACCACATAGAGTTCCTTCAGGATGATATTTTTGTTGACCTGGTCAACCTCAGCCATCTTTTTCTCCATGGAAACAAGCTGTGGAGCCTTCATCAGAACACATTTAGGGGACTAATAAACTTGGATAGGTTACTCATCCATCAAAATCAACTCCAGTGGGTCCACAGACGTGCTTTTCACGATCTCCGAAGATTGACCACCCTTTTCCTGTTCAATAACAGCCTCTCTGAGCTCCAGGGGGAATGCCTCGCCCACTTGGGAGCCCTGGAGTTTCTCAGGCTGAATGGCAACCCTTGGAGCTGTGACTGCAAATCCAGGTCACTCTGGGATTGGTTGCGCAGATTCAGAGGTTCAAGTTCCAGCGTGATCTGTGAGTCTCCTGAGCAGATGCATGGCAAGGACTTAAAGGTGCTAAAAGCAGAGGATTACAGGAACTGTTCTGGGTCTGAGTCCCTCCATCAGATCAAAACACACACTTTCTCCACAGCAGACAGAGGAGCCTCCAAAGACCACCACCCACACCACTCCTCCAAGGAGAAGGGTAAAGAGAGAGGGGTCGAGCACAGTTTACACAGCAGTCAACCAGCAGCACCTCCCGGTTCACGTCCAGGTTACAGAAAGCCCAGCAAGAACTGCACCAGCCACAAAAGCCGCAACCGAACCTCTAAGCCAGTGTCTCTGGGGCCACGGAAAAGCATTCATGAGGCTCAGGACTATGTGCCTGACTACCAGCACAAATTCAGCTTTGGCATGATGCCTACAGCACCACCCAAGCGGAAGGGTAAGTGCACCCGGCGGACACCCATCAGACCCCCCAGTGGAGTACAGCAGGCAGCTGGGAGCTCGGTGATCAGGGCCTCTCGTCTAGTTTTTATAATGGTTTTAGTGGTCATAATACGCTGAGCTGGCTGTGAGTGATAGTGTCTGTACTGCCACCAATCTACAAAGGACCAGAGTTTCTTTTCTTCTTCTTTTTTCATACATGGAGGATTTGGCCTTGTGAAGGAAAGAATGTTGTTTAGGCTTTTGATGGTCTCCATACATGGACGAGTGGATTATAAACATGAACTGTACAGAATGCGCACAGCAGGAGTGGATTAAAGGCATTATCACATGCTTGTCACAAACAGCCCCAACTGAGCACCTACAGAAAAGCCAACATAACGAAAAAGGAGCTAAGCCTTCATTAATAACAACTGGACAAACACGGACAGTAGCTGTGCTCTATGTGAAATCCTGTTAATTTGAGAGAGCTCTGAAAGACCCTGTGATTACTGAAGGGAACATAATTGCTGTAAAAATGATCACCAATTAAGCCTACACCATCTATCTGAAACGGTGTGCAAAGACACTTACAAAATGTATAATAAGGACATTGGTTCTCCCACATTTTAGCCCTTTTGGCTCCAAATCCCACAGGCCAAAGCTGGCCAGAATCCTCTTAGAAGACAATCTCAAATCCCTGTATATCTCAGGCACACAGCAGAACAGGGCTTGCCTGCTAGGCTAGGAGTAGCCAACTACCAAAGGAAAGACTGATTAGAGGTGGATATTAAAACTTAAACGAAATGAGATTCCTACAGAAGGTGCGTTTTTTGTAACTGTGTTCACATATAAAATAAACAAATGCACAGGTTCCCTTCCCCTCAATTATCCATATGTATGTCTTATAATGTTTATAAACTATATGGAAACTATATCTTCAGATGTAAGGATTGTATTGTTGAATTTATAGCAGAAGAACAGTATATGGTTTTCTCTAGAAAACAATTGGCAGCAGTGCCTACAGATGCCGGGTAGCCATCCATCAGGCTCAGCGTGTGCCGGGGGAACCACAGTGGACCAATGTTCTTAGCAACTTAGAGCACTAGATTTTGGGGGATTTTTTGTATGCAATGTAACAAAGTCAATATCTGAAGAGCCAAAACTCACTCTTATGACCTATTTTCTAACCTGTCACATGCCAGGAAGAAAGGGATTAATTAGAAGTGTTCAGACCAAACATACACAGCTATAGAGCTCTATCTCCTAGATAGCATTGTGAGGCCAGGGCAGACGTTTCTAGCAAGAGTGAGAAGCAGTTCCCAACAGTGTTAGCCGTGTGAGGACCTTTATAGCTGGTCTAAGGTTTTCACTCAAGTGGTGGAGTAGTGCAGGGACTCCAGGGATAGTCCTGACAGCCTGGGAAGTGGAAGATCTCATGGGAGACTCAGAAAGAGGCTGCAAACGATTAACTGGGAATCTGATAAGCGCCTGTAAGGAACAGAGTGCCCAGGACTTTCATCCATGATAGAAAAAAATGTATAAGGCAGCCATACAAAGGGAGTTGTGGAAGGGAGGGGTAGAAGAAGCAGGTCTGCCTGCCCATCTAACCTCTATCCTGACCCACTGGCAGTAACCCTGAAGCTGGAGTGCTGGGGAAGGGGGTCGTGTGTTCTGGTCTGGTTCAGGCTGGTGTATGGTGGAGATGGTAGTGTTATTGACCAGAGATGATGTCTAGATGGAACACAAACAGTACACATTAGTTCCCTGTCAGAGTGGATATGTGAGAAGAAAAACACTGAAGTTAATGAAAAGAGGGAAATAAAGTTATCTTGGACAAGCAAAGCCTGTTTTTCATTTCCTAACAATACTCCAGCTGCAGTGACACGTCTGGCCTGTAGCTAATGTTTGGAGCCAGACAACAGTGCTAAGGAAACGGCTCATTTTCTAGCATGTAACCAACTGGTTGAGCAAGGATGCGCTGACTCACTGAAACCTCAGGAAAATTCCTGTTCTCCAAATAATTAGCCTACTAGGGATAACTCATGTTCCATATCTATCCTTCTGGGGGCATCTTACTGCAGGGTACCCTCTTATGATCAGCCTGCCCTCCACCTGAGATGTTTGGTGCCAGTGCAGGGGGGTGGGAAGAGGGCTATTTAAACTTCAGTAGTGAGAACTTCCTATTAAATATAGCAGGCCCCTGTTGGGTAGAGATGTTCACAGAAGTCCCTGGAACTGGAAAGAGAAACCCCTTAATCAAATTGTTCTGGGGGCAAAAAATGTCTATGTAGTTTCAAGGATTCACCATTCAGTCCTGAAGTGAGGCATCTAGAGATTTAATAAGAAACAAGTGCAGAGTCTCCTGCTTGCCTCACAAACTTGAAGAGGCACAGGAGCTGGGATGCCTTTCAAAGAGGGGGGGGGGGGGGGCTTGAGCATGTATTTTTCAGAACAAAGTTCCTGGGTAATGACAGGAACAGTCCCAGAAAGAGGGAAGAATAGATTACTCATCTAGTCCTCTCTGTTCCAGCTCCTATCCAAACTTTTCTGTCTACATGGCTCTAAACCTCCACTAAAGGGATGTCCAATGCAGCCAAAACAAATAATCTGTGATCTGAAATAGCTCCCTCACGTCCTACACACTATAACCAATAGCAGCTGAATGTGTCTGGCACTGTCCCTTAGAAGTCTCAGAATGTTGTTATGTTGGTTATTTCATTTCATACTCTGGAAATCAAAGCTCTCAGTGGGAGAATGAAGAAGAGAAGCACTTTATTAATTTTTTTGTAAGTCTCCATGTAACTCCTATAATATAGAAGAGAAATGTCAGCACAGGAGATGCTAATGATTTATAAATGATTTGGGTGCAGCAGGCACCAAGGATTCTGAGATGAATTATATTAGAACAGACTATGCCTGGCCCCAAACCATACTTGTATTTTTCGTATCCTTTTCCTCTAAGATGTACATGTTGCCTCTACAAGGCAACTCCATCGTGTATTACATCCTTTGTCAACCAAGTGATCTGACTCCTGGCAATCAAGGATGCTGTTCAAAAATCAAAAACTAAGACATAAAAAAATCACTAGATAGGAAAAAACACTTGGTCCATTATGGCTTGTGGGATTCTCTCACCCTCCCTTTATTACCGTCTGCCTCTGTCCCCGCTCTTCCTCTACGGCCACATCTGCTTGAGCGTAAACTCATCTATAATGCTTGCTTCGATGTCTGTCCTCAGTGCCCCATTCCACATTCACTGCTCTGTGAGAGAGACAGTTCTGCCACAGCCCCTTGTTTGCTCTTTTGAGACAGTTCCCCACCCACCCAACTTCCATCCCTCGCCTACGTTAAGAGTTTGTATCTGGCTTCACATTGTCAGACATCTTCATACACTGTCAAGGCTTCTGTGTCAGTGCAGCATCACCTCTTCCCCTGAAGAGCCACCACTACATCTCATAGTAGAGGACTCTTCAATCTAGCAGACGAAGGTGTAACAAGACCCAACAGCTGGAAGCTGAAGCCAGACAAGTTCAGGCTAGAAATAAGGCACACATTTTTTACAGTGAAGGTAATTAAACATTGGACCAATTTACCAAAGGACATAGTGAATTCTCCATTACTTGGAGACTTTAAATCAAGATGGGATGTCTCTTTCTGAAAGGTTTGCTCTGGCTCAACCAGAAGACACAGGCTTGACACAGACTTACTAGGTGAAATGCTATGACCTGTGTTATACAGGCCAGACTAGATCATAATGCTCCCTCTGTGAGTCTTCACTCATTCAACCAGGCCCCACCTAGGCCTTCCAGCCCCCATCTAAGAATGCGGGGGGGGGGGGGAGCTCAAGTCCCCTACCCTTGTGGTCCCAGTGGTTGAGAGGGAGAGGAGCGGGTCAGTCCTTGAGATAAGTGTCTTCTCAGGGCTCCAAGCAGATGATTGTGCTGCTCAGGCTTAGGACAGCCCCAACTTTCCTCATAATAGATAACCTGGTTCCCTGCTGCTGCCCCTTCAACAGGGCAAGAATATTGCCCCACTGGAACGATGAGTAGAACTGAGCACCAGCCCACACAGGGTACAATAGGAAGCTCACCTCTGGATCGGCATTCAGTCCTCTTGGTGCTGGATCTCAGAAGGCAGTTTGCCTACTCTGACCGCAGCCAGACTCTAGGCGAATAGCTTCGCGCAGTGGGACTGCAACCTCTAAATCCCTTCCTTGGGCAAAATTTAATATGTATTCCTTCTCCAGTTTGGTTTACCATCTTCATAGTTTTCTATATTAAGCTGTGTTTTCTATTCACTCTGTTACTCACATGCAAGATCCAAATCCTTCCCAGTCTGGTTGCCTTGCTCCTCATTATTTGGTTGCTTCAGCAAACTTTAATATCTGAGCTTTGATTTTCTCATCCAAAACCTTTGCACAGAGTACATAAACAAGCAAACCCCAAACAGATCCTAGATTACGCTTCTGGAAATTCATTCACAACTACAGAGTCCCATTTCCAGCCACATGCTGTTTTCTGAATTTGAGCCAATTTTCTAACAATTTTACTTCCTTCCCATGATTTTACCTTTTAGTCATAATCATTAGCATGGGAACTTATCATACGCGCTTTGAAAACACAACATATGACACCCTCTGTTTCTCTCATCTTCCCAGGCAGGAATTCAAAGTACTCAAGGAAGAAAGTCAAAAGAAACCCTTCTCATCATCCCAAGCGGACATCAAATTAAACAGTTTCTAGTTTTTCCCTCATGGCTAATATGGGGCTTCTTGGCCAATAACTGCTTCATGCACTTTGTGGCCCCTTGTTTAAGATGAAAATTGTTGTGTCCAACTTTCTGGTCCTGAAGAATTAGACCTGCTCTGACAGGGATATCCACCCCCTGAAGAGGGCCCACTCAAGACCTATGCACCACTTAAGACGCACTTAAGCCAACACAAGAAACTCTATGCTGTCAGAGTTCAGTCGTTCCTGACCCCTCTGTCTCTGCATCTGTGGTGTGCTTTCTGACACTGGCTTAGAGAACCTCAGCCATACACATGGGAATGTTTCCAAATATTACATTTTCCATTGCACTACCAAGAACTTTTCCTTTTTTCTATAGTTTACTAACTACCCCAGGATTTTGTATGTTGA